GGTTTTCGGTTTAGGGTTTTGGGTTTTGGGTTTAGGGTTTAGGGGTTTAGGGGTTTAAAAGGTTTAGGGGTTGAGGGGTTTAGGGGTTTAGGGTTTAGGGGTGTGGGGTTTAGGGTCTCGCGGTCTTGTCTAGGGTCTAGGGCTTAGAGTTTAGAGTTTAGGGCGTGGTGAGTCCAGTGGGGGTGGATCAGCTAAGACGCACCCAAAGCCCCGAACCCTAACTCTGCTTCTAGGGCTTAGGGTTTAGGGCTTAGGGTTTATGGTTTAGGGTTGTTCTGCAAGGATTTTGAATAATACAGGGGCCTTAATAGTTACCAATACTATTTTGGGGGTCCCTTAGTATAGCTATAGTATAATGGGCCCCAAAACCCTACTTTAATTATTAAGGCCCCTATATTACTTTCGCAGGACTTTTGAGCTTAGGGCTCTTGGGGGTTCATTGGCTGGCGTGGGTCTTCTACAAGGGTTCCACAACTGCTCTATAAGCGCCGGGGGGGTTGTAGGACTTCTTGTGGCTCCCGGATTTTGAGAGGCTTTCAGAGCTTAAGATCTCTATAGGAGGCATGAACGCGTTGCACGATCTTTGGCTTCTTGTTTTCAGTACATTTTTGAAACCTTTGGGTGTCAGGTGCAGGGTTTAGCACACTTTTGCAGTGGGTATTTCCTTTCAGCCATAACTGGAGAGCTCATACACCCTGAAACCCTTAACTAAACGTAAACCCTAAAACCACAATAAATCCTAAAGTCCTAAACAGTACAGAAGCCAACTCAGGCATCGCGAAGTTCCTCTGGGCGCCGGGCGCGGCCGCGGAGTGCTTTGTCCAACACCGGCACGCAGCAGATTTGGGTTTAGGAGAGTTCTGGGATTGGGGGCTCGGGGTTTAGACGGGAAGGGCTCAGGTTAGACATGCCTCTAGAGATGCTTGTGGATTGTTTTGATGAGATGTTTGAGGTTTCCCATCGGGTTCTTAAGAGTATGCTCTGAATAGGGTAAACATGGTGTTCGCTGCCCGGCAGCGCCAGCGCAGCACGTGATTTGCCAGTTGGTTTTGCCGGTTCTGTTGCTGTTGTTGGTAATGGTGGTGGTGGTGGTGGTGGAGGCGGCGGTGGCCGTGGTGCGCGGCGGTTGCAGTATACGTTGTGATGCTGTGTACGCAGCGGCGGGTGTGGTTGTTGTTTTAGGTGCTGTTGCTTCTGTGTCTCCGTCATGGTGGTCGCGTGGTAGCAACAAAATGCAACAAACATTATAGTCATTGTGTTACTCAGCCCGCTATACTAAAGCCCGTTGTCCTGTCTCGCAAACAGCCTGGTTAAAAGGAACACATGAACACGGGAGATATGTAGACTATGTATACCCATACGTACGCATATCCTTGCGTACGGTGTGCATCTACACTCGGCAGGCCCTAAACGCTGCTATTCTTGATAGGTGCTGACGGCCGCCAGTCCGCCCCAGCTGCACCGGTGGCCCTCAAAACCTCGGCATCTGCGGCGGCCCTGGTGGGCCAAGAATTCGGTGCGGGTTGGTTCAGGGTTCCCTGTATGACGGTCATCTGTGCATTGCAGGTTTTGGATTGACCGATGATATCACCGAAGTTGTTCAGGCGTTCGCTTGTCCGGGTTAAGCCCACACCTGCCACGCAGCGAAAACTCGAGTTCTGCTTGTATTCTTCGCTTGTCATGGATCGCTGTGGTTGGTGATCTTCTTGCGGTTGCACTCCAATGTTTTTGTGACTTTTGTGGTTGTCAATCATCGTCTTTGTTACAGACATGACCAGCTTTCATATTCGCCCAGCTCACACTGTTGTTATCTAGCATTCGTGTACCACTACCGCTCCGGTGCACACTACACATGTTGCGATTATCATGCGCTTACATGTCAGTGGGTTCGGGCAGGGGGAACTGCATTGGTACCCCGAAGCTGTGTGTGCAACTTTTGAGAGGGCTTTCACCGAGGATGTAGGGCCAGGCCCGCTCTCCCCTGTGGCCTATCACCGGTTTCGCTGAGAAAAGGTTGAAGCAAGTGTGCAGCCGAAGATTCTTGTCCACGCACTCACTATACTTCACCTTCTCGATCCCTTCAAGTAGAACCCTTACCATATTCAGAACCCTGAACCCAAAACCTTGAAAGGGTATTATGAGGTAGGTTCCCCCTTGTAGTACGGGGTCAAAACATGTCAAAACAATAGAAACCCCTTAACGGAAACTGGCCCTGAAGCCAACACCTCTAAAACAGGGCCCCCGTACAGAGGAGTCTGGGGTTCTATAGTAGGGACCCCTTCACGGAAACTTGCCTTAAACCCTAAAACTAGACCGCTAAAAGGAGCCCCAATTAAGCATTGCTGTAATTTATGTCCCCTCATTGGGGTATAAGGGGTTTGATAATAGGGACCCCCCTTAGAGCCCCCTGTGAGCTTCAGAGGCCTCAGGGCTCGCGATCGCCTACAGCAGCACTGATGCGGCCACTTGCACGGGGTTTAGGGCTCGGGGTTCAGTAGTCAGCTCGAGGGTCTGGGAGTCTAGGGTTTAGGGTTTAGGGGAGAGGCATTAGGGTTTGGGATTTAGGGTTTGCGGTTAGAGAGCTATAGGGTTCCATAGGGTTGCAGTGTTCAGCGAGTTTGAGGTCTGAGATCTTTCGACTGCGGATTCATACCGTAGGATTTCGGCAGGGCCGTCTTGGGCTAAGGGCAGCGCGGTCTGGTAGATGGCTTCAGTTGGGCTTTGGGGCTACATGAGTAGGGCTCAAGCTTCACAGAAAGCCTATATTGACATGATACTGTGTTGTAGTGGAGTCCGCAACAATTACAACTTCATATGCGGTGGGAAGTATAGTGAGAGTTCTTATTAGAGTACTATTCCCAGGAGCAGGGGTACCGTTGAGGATCGACCTTTGGGCCTCACGGAGGCTTTGATGTTTTTCGAACCCCACAGGTCCTAGCAGGCGGGCTTCCTCTAGTGCTTCCGAGAGCCCAAGACAGCTCGAAGGCCCGACGCCCCAAGGTTTGAATTGAGGCCTCCAAACTCAGGGCTCTAAACCCTAAACCCTAAACCCCTAAACCCTAAACCCTAAACCCTAAACCCTAAACCCCTAAACCCTAAACTCGAAACCCGAAACTCAGGCGGGCCCGATCGCACAGAAAAGGTCACTACACTTTAAAAGAAAAGCCCAAACCCGCAACCCTAAACTCTAAACCCTAAACCCTAGACCCTAAACTCCAAACCCTAAGCCCTAAACCCTAAACCCTAAACCCTAAACTCTCAACCCTAAACCCTAAGCCCTAAGCTCTAAACCGCCTCGCATCGTAACTTACGGCGCCTTAAGGTGCCCTGGACGGCCCCAGACCGCAGAGGCGGAGCTGATCGTTGGGTCGGCGGAGCTTCTAGGGTCCCCTTAAGGTTTCTCTGGGTTTTTAGGGGTTTAGGGTT